CTGAAGTAACACATTCATAAACAGTAGGTGCAAGATTAATGTCTGGCTGTAGAATAACCAGTAATAGAGTACTGGGTTTTCAAAAGCTAAAATCCTGAATATTATACATGTTGCCTATTTAATGTAAATGTGAATGATTTCTGGTGCGTGACTGATAACCACGGAAGGCATAAAATATCTCTGAGCACCATATCTGTCAGCAGACACATGCGGAAACGCACAAATCCAGTCTGACAGAACAGCGCAGACAAAAAGCTTTGCTTCCTCGCCGCTTAACTGTCCTCCTCACTCCCTCTCTCTCCTGAGTGCCATCTTCGGTCTCCAGTATCAGGCTAGGCAGTGTTTGCTGCCTGCTTTCTACCTGTTCTTTGCAAACGCAAATAAGGCTCTATATCGATCCTTCACACCTCTGACTAAAACACACGCATCAGTGTATTCACTCTCTTGCATGTGCTTGCATTTAAACCTTCTATTCCTTACTGGAATAAAAGGATTGCCTTTTATTAAAAGACTGTAGAGCAATAACTAGATGAGGAAGACTTGGGAGAAAAGAAATTTCTTTGTATGTGACGTAGTAGTAAAAGAACTATCTTTGATGAGAAAATTACTAGAGTTTTTTTTTTCATTTTTTGGAGGCAAGGGCAGGAAATAAAAGAGAGACTGTGGCTGGCATTATCATTTTTTTTCCTTTATTTTTTTAACCTGCAAATTTGTAGATGTCAGGGAACAAGAACCATTATCTGTGACTACAGCATTGGTATCATGCTCTTTCCCCTTTAGCATCATAATCATGAAGCCAAGGGGCTCAGAGTTTCAACGGCCTCAAGTGGCTCGACACCTCTCAGGTAGACCAGCATCAGAGGCATTAAATGCAGAGTGGCTGCTCAAGGAAAAGAATGGGAAGGGGCTGGTGTGGGGGTCTTTCCCAGTCACATGTAATTATATGAAAACCAATATTCACTGCGATTGCTGTGTCAGTTCTGCAGCCTATTAATATGCTACTAAAGTGACGTGTTGCTGAAGCCATTTCTTTTAGGGAGGAAGATGATGGGAGAGAGGGGCAGACAATAAAGAAGGGCCTCAGCTGTGGGGAACAAGGCTGTGTGCATGTGAGGTTTACACAGATGCATGATCTCTGTGATGATGATCAAAACGTTACATGATGTCAAGGGAAATGTATCAAACATTTTTAAACAAAATAAAACCACGCTTTGGTTATGTAAAACTAATAGTAATCAAAATAAATCATGTGAATTGCTTTACATTTATGCCTAATTACCATGTAGTACAATAATGATTATGTGATTATTTTTGTCAGATTTTGCTATAAATTTAATTACATGTGTAAATTCTAAATATTCAGCCCTCATAATTTAGTGTTTTTAAACAATTATTTACTGACCCCACTCCCTCTTCTACATGCCAGATACCAAACTGCATACTAGGAGTAAAAACAATAAGACAATCCTCCCTCCCATGGGGCTTACAGTCTTGTTGGAAAAAAAAAAAAAAACAAGTACGAGGCAAATGTCAAATAGAAGAACTGACAATCAATGTATTTTTAAATGAAGGTAAGGACATGAAGGGAATACCAATCCCAGTCCTAGGGTATCAGGTAAGGCTTCAGTCCCTCAGAGCTGACCCCTGAAGACCCAGTAGAGTAAGCCAAAAGAGAGAGGAGAGTGAGTTAGTGATCCAACAAAAGAAACAGGAGACTCACAGGCCTCAGAAATGAGGCCCTGCAAGGTGAGTCTGAGAAACTGCTCAGATGGAACCCAGTGCAAGAAAGAGTCCTGAGATAGTAAGGTTAGTGAGATAAGAAGAGGACTTCAATATCATACTAAGGAATCTGAAATCTTAACAGTAATGAGGAACCACTGCAGACTTCAAAAAGGAGAATGACATGATCAGATTTACATTTCACACTAGATGTGGCTTTACTGTACGGAGTGAAGTAATACAGCTCATACCTGGAGGTGAGCAGGGCAGTCAGAAGAAGCCAGTTGCAGTGATTTAGGTGACAGTTGCCAGGGGTTCAGGTTAGGCTATTAAGAACAGAAAGAACTGAATGGGCTTGAGAAATATGTAACAGGTACAACTGAAACGTCTTAGTGATTGATTAGGTATAAGAGAAGAGGATTTGGGGATGGATTTCTGACTTAGGCAAACACATGATCTATAGTATCTCAGAAAAGCGATCTATTACTGAGATAGAAGAGGAAAAGAGGCAGGTTGATGGGATTTCTATTTGATTTTTGTTGATTTTGACAGAGGAGGGGGCACAGGAAAGCATTCGAAATTATGAGTTCCTCTAGACAAATTCAGTTCTATGTGTCTGAGGAGCTTGGAGATCTCTGATAGGTGATTGGATATATAGGTGTGAGGCTAAGAAGAAAGATCTAAGCTTAGACACATATTTGGCAGAAGGCATCGTATATCAGCTGAAGCCATCAGATAAACAAAGAAGGGGGCCAACATCAGCAGCTCAGAGAAACCCAGAATTAATGGGACGAACTGAGTAAGAGACAGTAAGGAAAATAAGTAGGAAGAAAGCCAGTAAAGCACATGATCATAAAAATCAGGGAAAGGAATATTTTAAGAAGGAACAAGTAGTCAACAAAGTCAAGTACAAAAGAAAATGTAGACTGGTATAGCCATTTACAATTCAGTAATCTGTACCTATTAAAACGTCTGATTCTTAATTCCATTTCTTGACATTTAATCAATAAAAATGTTATCCTGTGTGTCCAATGAGACAAAGAATAGTTTATAAAAGTAAAAAAGAAAGAATGTAAATACCCAAAAACAGAGAATTAACTCGAATATTATAGACTAACCTTGTTGAATATGCCACAGAACTTGACGAGAACTAAATAGATTTATGAGAAAAAGACTTTAATGAATGTTAAATATAAGAAGAAGCCAGTTTCAGAACAATGCATACATAATAACAGCAGTTATCTTTTAACATATTTCTCTATGCATATAGAAGAAAAGCTACAGAAAGAGTTGAAAGAGTATACAGCAAAGTCCAACAGTCAACTTTGTGAAGAAAGCTGGTATTTAGTTGGGTCTCTGGTCAAGGAGACCTTTTGCTTCATTTGTATTTTTTTTTAAATTTTTACAGTGAAAATGTTCCCATGTAACAGCTGCATAATAAAATACATTTTTAAAATGCTATCAAGAGATCGAACAAAATTAAACTGAGAAATAATTAATTTAATGGATGTTTAGTAACTTTAATAAAGCATAGATTTGGAAGAATAAAGGGAATAGAGGTTAGAGTATAATGAATTGAGACAAAACAGAAGGGAAAACAGGAAACAGAATATAAAACAGACAGTGTGGTATGGTACAGAAAAAAAAAGGAGTGCAAGAAGGATTTTTTATGAGAAGGAAGAAAAATGATATTCTCAGGAAGCCTCGCTGCTGACAGGTTAAAAAAACATTAGAGATAACAAAGCTAATAAGACACCAAAAGACCTGGGGCCTGTTACAGTGCCAGGCATGGCGATGGCAAAGTCTGGAATAACAGTAGTGACTTGCTAAAGAGCCAGATCAAGGAAGTTTAGGTGAGAAAAAAAGATTTATTATGGTTGGATCTATGCAACATCCCCAAACTAATAACCAAAGCATAGATTTGGAAGAATAAAGGGAATAGAGGTTAGAGTATAATGAATTGAGACAAAACAGAAGGGAAAGCAGGAAACAGAATATAAAACAGACAGTGTGGTATGGTACAGAAAGAAAAAGGAGTGCAAGAAGGATTTTTTATGAGAAGGAAGAAAAAATGATATTCTCAGGAAGCTTCGCTGCTGACAGGTTAAAAAAACATTAGAGATAACAAAGCTAATAAGACACCAAAAGACCTGGGGCCTGCTACAGTGCCAGGCACGGCGATGGCAAAGTCTGGAATAACAGTAGTGACTTGCTAAAGAGCCAGATCAAGGAAGTTTAGGTGAGAAAAAAAGATTTATTATGGTTGGATCTATGCAACATCCCCAAACTAATAACCAAAGAGAAGAAAAGGTGGAAAAGAATTCTCAAAATATCTTAGGGTTATAGCAAATAAACGGATGACATTGGAAGAATACAAATAAATAGTCTAATTGCAAGATGAGAAATGCTTTAAGGACCGGCTGGTTGGTGCTACCTGGAATGACCAGAATGAGCTGAGACATAATCTGGTACAAGAACAAGACTATGTATTAGTATTGGTTGTAACACTTAGGAAATGGTGCATGTTCATTGCTGTGAATCAATCAGAAGCTGGAAGTAAAGCATGTTGTCAGCAGGGCATATTAACTGCCACTCATTCTCCTTCAACATGTAAGAAGTGATGAGTGATAAAGCATCATTTAAGCATAATTAACATGGTCCAAGAATTTTGGTTCAGCATTAAACAGTAGGAATTGCTTAGGATTAGGGTATAAATATAAATCTCTTCTGAAACCAAAGCAGGATGTCTCCAAATGGCTCTGTTCTGAAGAAACCAACTCTCTCTCCGTGGTCATGCCTTTCTGGAAAAGTCTTAGAGGGGAGATAAATGCTAACAACAAACTAAAACTTCTTACTCACCCAGAACAATGTGTCCTTACTGAAAAAAAAAAAAAAAAAAAAACCTGGTCCAAAGCTACTCTTACAGAGGGGCTGTTCACATCCTGGTGAGAGAATACGGTGATGAACCCTATGCTTTGGATGGTCCTGACAAGCAAACAACTTTAAATCACAATAAAATCATTTGTGTCCTTTAAAAGACAACGCATAGCAACACTGGATTTCATCAAGGGGGTGGTGAGTGGGAGGGCAGAGAGATGACATTACAACGTGAGACTCAAAAGGAAGAGACTGAGAATTTTCTGGGTGCAGACGTGAGAGAATTAATTATTGACACCTACACGGGAAGCTCTCCATTTGGGCACTGCCCTGGGTCATGTGTTGTCATGCCTACTGAAATTATATTAGAAACCAAAATAAACTTCTGTATTAGTAGCTCTCACCTTAAGAGTTCAATCTGTAGAAGAGGCAAATTTCTCCTTTGGCTTATTCTACAGGCAGCCTTCTGAGAATCAGAAGAGAACAACCAACTTCGATCATTTGAACATGGAGCATCAACTAATACCTATAGGAAAAAATGACAGAGAAGGCAAGTATGCACTGAAAACATCCTCAAACACAAAGGACACAGGGAAGCTATGTAAATTGTGGCAAAACTTAGCAAATAAATAAGTAAATTTATTTTAAAACTGAAAATACACCATGGTAAGTTGTTTATAACACTTCTGCACTAACACCTTACAAAAGAATTTTCTGTGACTTTCAGCATTTAGGTCTTTTTCAGTGGAGTAGGGGAATGAGACGACTAAAAGTCTACTAATGTCTACTAATATTTCCTATTCTTGTTGACTACAGCAAAAACTTTTACAAGTTACTCATTTTATTTTTTTAAAGTTACTCATTTTAAGCAGATGTTACTATATTCCTGAATTCTCAGCATTTATATTTAAGAACTAATAATTCAATTTCAGTTTACTGAAAGGCTCTCTTTTTCTTCAACTGTCATACTCTGATACGAAATGTTACCAAATTAAAGCAATACAGTGCACATGTTTGTGTACCGATTCAGATAATATCTGATCTCTTCCTGAGTATCTTTGAGGTACCTGGAAATAAAAAGCATTCTATAATCCCCAATCCCAATGTTACCGCTTCCTTTGAACATGCTGACCATCAAATAAAAACTGCTCCCATGTTCACTTTATCAGAATTTCCCAGGGTACTGAGAAATTGTATCCAGCTATGTCTGGAAGCAGATGGAAAATAACCACAACAAAGCAACGTAACAGTAGTATCACTGGGAGTCTATCAATCTGTCACAATGTAATAAAAGTACCTTGTCAAAGGTTTCAGGCTGGGCATCTCCCATTTCTCTGCCATCCAATTCAGACACTTTAATTACATTTACCAAAGGCTGTGGGATGAAAGATTCTAAGGTCTGCCTCAGCCACCTCAATCTCAGACTATTGTATTCATTACAATGAAGATAACCTAAATATGAAGGATTAAAAAGTTTTTTTAAAAAATGAACACAATAGAATTATTAAATTTCCACTTTTGATCAAATAAATTTCAGAAAAACACTGGTTCATTACAATTACACAGGAACAGGGCTGAGAGGTAAACATGATTGTCTATGTTTAAAGACTTGAGTACACTCACAAACACTTCATAAAACATTTACCATAGTCATGCCTACAGAGCCTCTCAGAAGCTCTCACCATTTATTCATTCAAATTTAATTCTTAAGGTAAAAACCTTTAGAGAATTAGAGATTCCTAAAGATATACTATACAACCAATACCTTAGACACAGTTCTCTCCTAAAGCTCTTAAGAGTGATATATAAAGTTCCTTCCAGGTCAGAACACCTTGATTTTAAATAAAGGAAGGTATGTGGCTTGTGGAAAAAAGCATGTAAAGTGTAACTGGCTTTATGATAAGAAAGGCATAGGCTCAAATTAAGAATTGTGAGACTCCAGAAAACTGACTCCTCTCCTACACAGTCTCACTTTCCTTATCTGTAAAATGGGGACTATTAATAGTGAAGGAGTTTAGAACACTCCACTGCAAAATATGCTGTTTTGGCATACTGATTATTTTGAGTTACAAGCACTTGAATAACAGCAGATGTGGGAAGGGCATTTGACCTATCTTCTTCCTGAAAGCAGGAGATGAACTCCCATGTGAAAGATACCCTCTCTATACCAAGAGGAAAGAATATTCTCATCACCAGTGACAGAGAGTCAAGGCCAAGAGAAAAAACACGTGTATGCTTTATTCCTGTTGCTCTGTCTTCTGTCAGTCACTGTCAGAAGCCCTTACAGGATAAAGGAGAAAGTTTACTACCCCTACCTTACAAAGCTGTTGTTAAGATGAAATGCTACACCTTAAACTTATACACTACTGTATGTTGATTGTATCTCAATGAAACTAGAAGGAAAAAAAAAAATCCACTGTGATAATTTAGTAATATATCTAGCATGTGTGATCTGCTTAGTTGCTCAGTCATGTCCGATGCTGTGACCCCATGGACTGTGGCCTGCCAGCCTCCTCTGACCATGGAATTCTCCAGGCAAGAATAACAGAGTAGGTAGTTGTTCCCTTCTCCGGGGGATCTTCCCAACCCAGGGATCAAACCCAGATCTCCCGTGTTGCAGGCAGATTCTTTCCCATCTGAGCCACCAGGAAGCCCATATCTAGCAAAGAACTGCAAAAGGAGTAACAAGAAATGTTCATAATGTTAGTGTTAGTCGCTCATTCGTGTCCGACTCTTTGCAAACCCACAGACTGTAGGCCGCCAGGCTCCTCTGTCCCTGGGATTCTCCGGGCAAGAATACTGGAGTGGGGTTGCCATTCCCTTTTCCAGGGGATCTTCCCAACCCAGGGACTGAACCCAGGTATCCCGCATTGCAGGCAGATTCTTTACCATCTGAACCATCAGGGAAGCCCAGTTCTTTTAGCACCAGTTCTTTTAGCATTGAACTGCAAAAAGTAGTAACAAGAAATGTTCATAATGATTACTAACAATACATGTAGTAGGAGTGGCTTCCCTGGTGTCTCAGTTGGTTAAGAGTCTGCCTGCAGTGTGGGAGACCTGGGTTCAATCCCTGGGTCAGGAAGATCCCCTGGAGAAAGAAGTGGCAACCCACTCCAGTATTCTTGTCTGGAGAATTCCATGGACAGAGGAGCCTGATGGGCTATAGTCCATGGAGTCACAAAGAGTTGGACACGACTGAGTGACTAATTTTCACTTTCTTATAGTAGTAATTATTATCTTGAGTCCCTATTAAGGGCTAGGCACTGTTCTAAGACTTTACATGTAGTAACATATTTAATCCTCACAAACCTCAGGTAGATAATTTTATTATCATTTCTGTTTTACTGATAAGGAAATTGAGGCAAAGAGAGGTTAAGTAATTTGCTCAGGTTTACACAGCAGGAAACCAAGACACCTTGGTTCTGGAGCCCACCTGCTTTTCAGCACCATGCTATGCTGCTTCTCAGAAATAGAAGGCACTTAGCAAATTGTTTTCTCCCTAATAGAAAAGTTATTTTGTTTTTCCTGTAGTTAAATATATATTTATAAATATTTATATATATTTATTATAGTAACATAAATTGCATATAATATTAAAGACAAGTATATTTTCAAATGTACAAAAGTATAAAGAAAGAACACCAAAAATTACCTAAAACTCAATCTTCAGATAAGCATCATTTAACATTTTCATTAAATAATCCTACCATATCTCTTTATGTCTACACCTCCATATAAATGGATTATATGGATATAAATGGAATATATAAATAGATATATATGAATGGAATTATATAATATTTTTGTAGTGTCTTTTTCCCATCTTACTCTTTATCTCCCCACTCTGTCAACTGCCCAACCACCCATCAAAAGGAACCTATAGTTTTTCTCTTCTATTTCCTTTTAAAGTCCTCTAATACTCCTCTATTATTCCTTAATTTCCATTTTCATTTCACTATAACCTTGCCAAAAAAAAAAAGAGAGAGAGAGAGAAACCCTATTTTTAAACCAAACTTCATATACATTTCTAAATTTTTTTGTGTGTTTTTGTTTTTGTTTTTAAATATTGTATTTCAAAGAGTCTAACCTCTACACTAGATTTTTAATCTTTCTTTTTCAGTAGGTGATATAAATTTTGGACATTTAAGAATCCAATATTCAGTTCCCATTTCTATTCAGGAGTGTGGTGATCACTCTCCCACTTTTGACTCTCTGTTTTCTACCTCAGAACACGTCTATTTCCTCCTTTCCCCTTCTCTTCCCAATCCAACTCTGTGAATCTTTGTGGGTGTCTGGGCTACAGAGAACACTTTGGGAACAGATAACTGCGTAGATCTGTCTCTCTCCTCTTGAGTCCCCTTTTTCTCCTCCTGATCAGCTCTATCTCCTTCCTCCCTCTCCTATTCTTCATGTAACTCTGTAAATCTCTCTGGTTGTCTCGCACAGTGGAGAATCTTTTCACCATTAACCTAGAAGTTTTATTATCAGTGCTGTATAGTTGGAGAAGTCTTGAGACTATTGGAAGAATAAAACTGAAATCCAGAGGCAGGAAACTTAAGCCCAAAACCTGAGAAAACCAGAAAACTCCTGACTACATGGAACATTAAGGAATAAGAGACCACCCAAAAGCCTCCATACCTACACTAAAACCAACCACCACCCAAGAGCCAATAAGCTCTAATACAAGACATATCACGCAAATTCTTTAGCAACGCAGAAACATAGACCTGAGTGTCAACATACAGGCTGTCCAAAGTCACACCTAACACAAAGACCGATCGCAAAACTCATTACTAGACACTCCATTGCACTCCAGAGAGAAGAAATCCAATTCCACACCCAGAACGCTGACACAAGCTTCCCTAACCAGGAAACCTTGACAAGCCAATCGTCCAACCCCACCCACTGGGTGAAACCTCCACAATAAAAAGGAACCACAGACCACAAGAATACAGAAAGCCCACTCCAGACACAGCAATCTAAACAAGATGAAAAGGCAGAGAAATACCCAACAGCTAAAGGAACATGAAAAAAGCCCACCAAGTCAAACAAAAGAGGAGGAAATAGGGAATCTACCTGAAAAAGAATTTAGAATAATGATAATAAAAATGATCCAAAATCTTGAAAACAAAATGGAGTTACAAATAAATAGCCTGGAGACAAAGATTGAGAAGATGCAAGAAAGGTTTAACAAGGACCTAGAAGAAATTTTTTAAAAAGTCAATTAAAAATAAATAATGAAATAAATGAGATCAAAAACACTCTGGAGGGAACCGTGAGTACAATAACAGAGACAGAAGATAGGATAAGTGAGTTAGAAGATAAAATGGTGGAAATAAATGAAGCAGAGAGGAAAAAAGAAAAAAGAATCAAAAGAAATGAGGACAACCTCAGGGACCTCTGGGACAATGTGAAACGCCCCAACATTCGAATCATAGGAGTCCCAGAAGAAGAAGACAAAAAGAAAGGCCATGAGAAGTTATTCGAGGAGATAATAGCGGAAAACTTCCCTAAAATGGGGAAGGAAATAGCCACCCAAGTCCAAGAAACCCAGAGAGTCCCAAACAGGATAAACCCAAGGCGAAACACCCCAAGACACATATTAATCAAATTAACAAAGATCAAACACAAAGAACAAATATTAAAAGCAGCAAGGGAGAAACAACAAATAACACACAAAGGGATTCCCATAAGGATAACAGCTGATCTATCAATAGAAACCCTTCAGGCCAGAAGGGAATGGCAGGACATACTTAAAGTAATGAAAGAGAATAACCTACAACCTAGATTACTCTACCCAGCAAGGATCTCATTCAGATATGAAGGAGAACTCAAAAGCTTTACAGACAAGCAAAAGCTGAGAGAATTCAGCACCACCAAACCAGCTCTTCAACAAATACTAAAGGATCTTCTCTAGACAGGAAACACAGAAAGGTGGTATAAACGTGAACCCCAAACAACAAAATAAATGGCAACGGGACCATACCTATCAATAATTACCTTAAATGTAAATGGGTTGAATGCCCCAACCAAAAGACAAAGGCTGGCTGAATGGATAAAAAAGCAAGACCCCTATATATGCTGTCTACAAGAGACCCACCTCAAAACAAGGGACACACACAGACTAAAAGTGAAGGGCTGGAAAAAAATATTCCACGCAAACGGAGACCAAAAGAAAGCAGGAGTCGCAATACTCATATCAGATAAAATAGACTTTCAAATAAAGGCTTTGAAAAGAGACAAAGATGGACACTACATAATGATCAAAGGATCAATCCAAGAAGAAGATATAACAATTATAAATATATATGCACCCAACATAGGAGCACCGCAATATGTAAGGCAAACGCTAATGAGTATGAAAGAGGAAATTAATAGTAACACAATAATAGTAGGAGACTTTAATACCCCACTCACAACTATGGATAGATCAACTAAACAGAAAATGAACA